AGTTTATTAACTAATGAAAGACTTTTTTTCAAAAGGTTCCTTCTCCGTCGTATCTCGACTCTAGCATGTAATCTTGAGATGAAATTTTCTTACCACCATAATAATTCTCCATAAGAAAATGGCTACTATTCTTATTTCTCCTACTACTAAAATTACTATCATCAATATTGATAGTATCATTAATTATATCATTTTTGCTATCATCTTCGAGATTATCTGCTGGACTTCTTTTTCCATGGATTCCTTGCTCCAGCTGGCGAGCAGCTGAAATATCTTCGTCTGCGCGTACGAAAGGATCGCGACTGATCAACCTCGATTTGAACTTCTTCACATGATCTTCTAAATTTTTCAGCAATTTAAACAATACCTGCAGAGTCATTCCATTTCTGTTGTCTGCTGTGTGTACGCCCAAATTCTTGCATGCCGATTCAATATCGCCACTCCTCGTCTCTTCTAGGTAATTTTCTGAATATTCCGCAGGGCTTGGCAAAATGACAATTAGGTTGCAGTAAATTTTGTAAATGGCTTTCTTCTGCACTTCTTCAAATTCTGTCGTCAGTTTTTTATCCAAATCCTCAACTCGAGATTCGTCTATTTTAGCTTGTTGTAGGTACGAATTGATGTTTGAGAACATCGGCGCTGCATGTTCCAAAACGTTCAACATCTGAAATTTGGAAATTTTAAAATATTTTTTGGACAAATTTCACAATTCCAAAATCGTAACTAACTCTGTCAGGTCTATCTAGTTTCCATGATTCGATTTGGAACTCGGTGGGAAGTTTATCCAAGGAGCAATGATTTTTAAATGCCTCATATAGACAATCGCTATTCCTTCTATCCAACGCACATTCACTCAAACTTCTCAGATGATACCGGCTATTGCCGAATCGTTCCCTCAGCTTTGGATTAAATTAACAAAGCTTTTTCATTCGATATTTAGACCATTATAATTGTCCTAAAATGAAAAATCATTTAAAAATCATACCATTTTGGCAATTAAGTTATTGACAGCATTTTTAGCCCTCTCAATGTTGACCATGAGAGCAGAGTATGATTCCAGGTGGTTGTTGGGGAGTGTTGGGTCCAGAAAGCTGTTGTATTCGTTGCACAAGCAGTCCCAAATATGGCAAACCCTGTCCTCGCTCACGCAACATCTCATATACAAGATGATCTGTAGGAATGCTGTTGGATTGGAAATGTGTGTATTTCACCAGCAATTGAAATCGTCTTCACAGACGCAAACAAATTAGTAACAGTAATAAAGAGGCTGCTGTAACTGACAAAAAGACTTTATAATTTCCAAATTAATCAAAATTTTTCAAAATTCTTTCATCAAAATATATGCCCCAGTCCAAACTACTTGAAGCAATATGAAAAACTCTTTAGAAAGACTCTAACCTAAAGCGTTAAACCCCATCTTAATGAAAGATTTTAACTTGTCAAAGGCTAAAACCTTTAGAGAAATTTTAAAATCCTCATCTTTTATTTTCCTATTTATAGGAAAATTATTCCCTGATGTTATTTGATAACTTCAAGCTAAGCAGCCATTTTCCTGGCCGGCACTGGTCCTTACTAAGAAGTGTATAATTTATATTTATCTATAAACAACATATATCAAAATAAAAAACATGGAGAGAGACAGAGAAAGAAAGAAATAGAGAAAAAGAGAGAGAAATAGAGAGAAAAAGAGATTCGTTTACTTCTATAAATTTATATTATTTTACAATATATACAAAATTTATGAAAATATTATATGAATATATAACCCTCAGGTCAAATTTATGTAGTTATTTATAAACTTGAAATCAACAATTATGGAGTAGAGGCGAGCAATGCTATTAAATGTTTCCGGTTACACGCTAAACTTTTTTTCTAAATGCATGTAACTAATGTTTCTCATTCAAACATTTTTTTTATGTTTTTTGAAAGTTGTGGCATGTTGGATTAGCTAAAAGCGTCATATTGGCAGTTCAAAAGTAAAAAATCTAATTTTACATTTTTCAAATTGTTTGTTTACGAGAGGTTTTATTTCGTGATTTTATTCTTCAGCTGAAAAATTTTAAAATGAATATAAGAAAATTAAATCAAGAAAAGTTCGCCATAAGAAAGATTCACTATATATGCTCTCTTTGAAAACTACTATAATTATGAAACGCAAGCATACACGCACACAAAAACACATACACGCACATTCAAACGTTACACAAAATTATTTATATATCGCTTTCTAAATTATATTGAAATGGTTTAAATTACACAACAAAACAAATGAGCGATCAATCAAACATAGTAAATTACGTTAAACAATACAACACGACGAATTTTTTCCATTTTTAAAACATACAAAGTCAAATACAAAACACAAAAACAATTTAAAACTGCATAAAATTTTGAAATCTGTCAAACGCTGAACTGTACATGTAATTAAACCATCGTACACTATCGACATCATACGACGCACGTGGTACACGTTACTTGAGTTTCGGACAGACAATTTTCGAACCATGCTATCACGTAATAGCAGAGCGAGATATGGCGCTTCTACCGACTGAGCTAACTCGCTGACCATAAAATTTTTGATTGACTGCATTGGCGAAGATGCTTTTAGCGCAGACCGTGAATGAAGAAAATATTTAAAATTCTTTGTAAAATATTGTATGCCACAAATCATAATGTACAAAATGGTCATAACCATTATAAATTTGTCATCAAATTCAGAATTTTAGTAATCATTCCTCCAGCTGCAAGAGAAAAACAGCATCCAGCACCAATTGACTTGGATTGGGATCTTTCTACACAAGTGCTTATAACACAACATTATTTTAAAAGGTTATAGCTCATTTTCCATATTAACATACCATGGTAGGCATAGACATGAACAAAATATATGTTTTATAATGGTTTTATTAATCTATTTTTAAATCATGAAACAGTACAGTTGAAAAATTTACATCAGTTTATTAAATTAAATTTATAACAAATAACAATAAATTTTAATAAAATATTATAATTTTTTAATAATTCATTTGTATGTATTAATGAATAATTAAAACTTCTTTAAATTTACAACTCGAATTAAAGCATTAATTTATCGTTTAGTTGAACCTCGAATAGGCGCACACTTTAAATTTTATTTTAAACATTTCGATTGTAAATTTTTAAAAGGATAATAAATTAATTAACCTATGGTTTCCGGATTGTAAATATTAGTATATATATATATTGGAATATCGTCGAGAATTAAAATCAGAAAAACTTTTATCTTAGACAAGCAAACATGAAGCCAGAAATAAAGAGGTCCGAAGTTATGATGGAGGGAGTCCTAACCATGCCGATCCGGGCGGAGATCGTCAAGTCGGTCCTGAAGTTCATCGTGTATGAGAGGGAACTCGTCCCCGAACTCTACGATACAGCCATCAAGCAAAATTACGCCGTTAGTGTCTACTTAATTATTTATATTATATTTTATAATTATTAACATTAATTTTTAATTAAATTTTGTATTAAGCCCATGTTATTTAGTATTTCTGTTTACTATTAATTAATCAATTGAGGTAAGTAATTAAATAAAATTTAAGTTAAAAAATGAATTAATTCTAATTCATAAATGAGCTTATAATAATAAATAATAAATAAGTTATATTTATTACATTTTTTCATCTATTATCTATTTGATTATTTTATTTTGTTATAGTTATGAAACATTTATGATTTAAAATGAAAATTTACTACAGAATTACGAGCCATCTTCGATCCTAGGCAACAGGCAGAAAAAGGACCACTTGAAGAACATGGCCATAGTTTTTAAGGCAATCGACTACGCATTTGACCACGATTGTGAAGAGGTTCTCATCTTATTTGGCAACAACGTTCTTTGCCCTGCAGAAGTTTTCAGACTACAATTTCCACCCACTGCCCATGCTAACGTTTCAACTGTAAGTTTATTACTACTCTTTGTTATAGTTGTAATAATTGAAATTATTTTTACTTTTTTTTTGGTATTTATATTTGGTGTGTAGTTGCTGTCTTTTGATGACGTTTGGCAATTGAGGCAGTACAACGTCGCGATATTGAGTAAAAAGTTGTAAGACGTGGGCGAAATTGTCTGACTGCGTGTTGATTGTTGGTTTATTATTGAGGATGAGAATAGCTTCTTTTATTTTGAGTCTTGAGGGTCGACGTTCATTACAAAGTATGCTAGTGTTATTATCAAGAATTTTTCGAGTAACTGGTATGTTGTGCTGCTTATTGAAGTGATCCTTGATAGCGCCTTGCTGTACATGCATGGTAAGGCGTCTGCGAAGTGTTGTATGTGTGTGTCCTATATGTTTCCACATCACGGGGCATCGAAATTGGTACACGACGTTCGTACTATATAGATTATCTTTTGGTGTAAATTTATTCAGCGAAATCTACATTTATCGACATCAAATCACCAATCATAAATTAATAATACTGACTTAGATACATAATTTAACCACCATTATCTAAATAATTCCTGAAAAATAATAGTCATAATAATAATAAATGATAATTTATACAAAAATTATACTCCCAATAGCCTCTTCCAGTAAGGAAGTACACTGCAGAAGTTATCCGAAACATAATTCAGTGGAAAGACATAGTGAGGAAAAAAAGTTTACCATCGTCGACCGGCATCCACCTACTTTTTCTGATGCCTCTTCAGCGAAGACGCAAGAGCAGCGAGAAAAGGTGTGAAATTGTCAGTGATGTTGTTGGAGAAAAAAAGGTCGGTAGGGATGTGCCAAAGGAGGAGGAGGAGGAGGAGGAGGAGGAGGTGAATTGTGATCTCTTAGTCCCCAAGTTGTTCTTCACAGTTAGTACAAGTTTTACTTTTTAACCACAAAAAAGAAAATGTTAGTTATAATAATAATAATATGCAATAATAATATCTAATATTTTCAATGATAAAATATCAATTATTATGATAATAAACAGGTGTCAAGGAGTGCACAACAGTTTATCATTGACTGCAAGTCGAACGTCGCATTCGAGGATTTCAGCCTCGACTCCAGTAACGAATACTTGCAAAATTTATCTGGCCTAGCACCGCTGGACAGTACGAGCTTTCTACTCCAAAGTTTTGACTGCTCACCTCTATACGGCGATGATGTACATGATGATAACGACGCAATTAGTAGTAGTAACACTAACAACAACAATAATAATAACAATAATAATAATAATAATGGTGATGATGCTGCTGGTGGAAAACATAATGGTGATTATGTCAATGGTCACGCTAATGATAATAACAACAACGACATCAACATCATGAGTAGCAATGGTACTGATAAGAATGATGACGGTGATGATGATAGTAACAAGATTAGTAACTACAATTCTGCCACTACTACTGCTGCTACTACTACTGCTACTACTACTAATAATAGCATTAGTAATAATGGCAATAGTGAAAACCAACACTCTGAAAATTCAAGTCAAGTTAGTTGCAATGATGATGATCATCATCATATTATTTGCAGTGGTAGTAGTAGTAACGGGGGTATTGGTAGTAGTGGAAACGGTTGTAGTAGTAGTAGTGTAGAAAAAAGAAGAAAAATTGAGATTAACTCCCAAGATGACGATTGTGTTGACCCCGGTCTAAATAATAATAATAATAATGATTGTTTTGGTAACGATGATGATGAGGGTAGTGATATTGAAGTAATTAATGTCAAGCCAGGAAACAACAATAATAATAATAATAGTGAAGATAATAATATGGAAGACCCAAGCCACGGAAGTAGAAAGTCATCCGCAAAGAAGTTAGAATATGGAGAGCCAACAAAAGATAATAATTCGAATTTAAAAGTTTCCAATCCAGTAGCACATGACTCTTCCAGATGCCGTGGCAATAATCGTAATGGCGATAAAGAAGCGATACTTAGTGACAAAATAGAAGAAAATGACGTCTATGAAATTTTCGACGATGGCGAAGACACCAAAGATCATAAAAATGGTAAATGGAATAAAAATAATTATGAGTTACTTTGGTTCGAGGCATGTGTCGTACTGAAGGGCTACAAAGAAAAATCCTTTTCGGCCGATGGAAAATTTTAATTGGTTGGCTGTAACATATGTCTTTTATTTACACTTCAATTTCATTGGTTGATTTTGAAAGCTCTACTATGGATTACAATTAGAATTTGTTGGTTAAACTAGCAGGCATAAAGACTTTGATTGGCTGTAGACATTTGTGCTATAATTTTATTGGCTAACCTTCAAAGTCCTATTAAATTTTAATTTCGGCTGCTTATAAATCTTGTTCATAATAACGTTAAATTATGTAGTATTATATATATTTCCTATGGATAAAAATATCTGTCAATAATATCTCCTTAAAAATTTATTTATTCCCAAACAGCCATACTTGCAAAGACTATAGAAACTTTTGTTGATAGATTAAACATTTTTTTCAACATCTTTTGCAAACCTTTTCGTCTGTTTGAGGTTTTCCTTTGTACATTTTTTGTTAATTCATTTTCAGTTATAAATAATTAAAAAAAGTATGTAAATAAAAATTATGGAAGTAAATCAATAAAGTCTGTTGTTATATACACATCTCGTTTGTTTGTATTAAGCATAGCTTACGTATTTCGCTTAAATATCGATATGACGTTCACCAAACGAGTCTACAACCCAAATGAATTGTTGAGAAAGAGTTTGGTTGCTCAAGGTAGACATGCACTGACGAATTAACGATTCAATAAAACAGCTAGACAGTCATTGCAACAACATAATACAAAATGATAAATATAAATCATCTCACAAGTGGAGTAACTGCTTTGAGGCTGAAGGATTTTTGATAGCAATTGAAGTCGGAAATAAGAATTTTAAAAAGCAAACATACCCGACACCACACCAAAAACATTAGCGCGTCTGAACTTTACATAAATGGATTCACTTTACAATGTTACAACACACAATCCAATTGTAAATGTGTGGTGTGTGCACGTGTGTCAGTGTTGTAATCAAGCGTTAATGGAAATAATGACGATGATGATGGGGATGGCTTCTCTAAAGAAAGGCACTGAACATAAACTGCCTCTGTAGCTCCTCAGCTGTCACCGTACCTTTCAAACGTTTATAAAATTTTATATTTAATATTAATTTAATATTTTAAATTTATTATTTCAAGAAGTGTCCAACAACACACACACACAAGAAGTGTCTAACAACACACACACACACACACAAGAAGTGTCTAACAACACACATACCACACACACACAAACAATAAAGTATATAATGAGAAAAGCATAATTGTGTACAAATCTCAAGATATGGAGTAGATAAATGTTGTCAACAAATATAGTTCTTCCAAAATTTCCAGTCCCAAGTCAAACCACTGCAGATTTTGTCAATGCAAGTGCCAACATACAGGAAGTATTATTTCAATACAGAACTTGTCATAGCAATTACAATATTATTATTGTATATAAATATATTGATAAAACCAAACCCTTAATAGCTTCACAATTTTCATTAAAGACAGAATAAGCGCTGGGCTCTCCTTCCAACTTATCTCTCGTCCTTGTATTCAGGCAGATGAATAAAATTCCAGAGATTATTAAAAACACGCAACCAAACTCGACAGAAATGGCTAGAGACCAGAGAAGGCACCAAAGAACAAATATTATTGTCCATGAAATAATTTTGGGAATTCTGTCAATTTGTTGAGATGTTTTAATGTATATGGGTGTTGATTTTACGTAATTGGATATTACATCGAATGGTAACAAAATGTAATGCAGTAATACTCTGATGGGTTTTAAGATGTAGACTAGGAGTGCTAAGATTTTGGGAAAAAAAAGAATATTTTTTTGTGTCAATTCTGAATTATTTTCATTTGGATTTATTTGTTTATGATCACTTTCTTTTTTACTCTGTGGTCTGTTTGATTCAATGGCTGCTGACACTTGTTCCTAAATGAATTTTATCACAAGTATAAAATCTCGATAAAAATTGATCTAGATAAATGAATTTTGTAGATTAATATTTTCAATTCATGGCTAATGCTTGTTAATCTATGAGAGTTATATAAAAAATTATTTTTATAAAAATTGCATTAATTACTAACTCTAAGCTAATTTAATAATAAATAATAAAAATAAAATTTGGTTTACTTTTTGCTTTTGTTGTCGATAGTTGTGAAGGATTTCTTCAATGTTGGTCATGTTTGTTCCTGATTAAGAAAGATTAACATAAAATTAGATGATAACAATATATAAATTACAGTTATAATTTATAATAAATAATTATATTGTAAGATAATTAATTTATTTTTATATATTGAAAATGAAGTTAAATAAAATATATTTATTTTTATTACTGATCAGCTTTAACTTGGTTTCAAGTGATTATTTATGTGTCAACCACTAACTCACTCCATTCACTCCAAAAAGGTTAAAGAAAACATTTAAACTTTTTCTAGGTTCAGTTCGGAAAGGAATCAATGACACACAAACATCCCATCTCATGAATACATGCTAAAGTTTAGCTGCTAAAACAACACAGCACACACAAAGTAATTAATTTTCTAGACTATTTGTCCTTTGTAACATAACAATCAATTTAACTATAATTTTTTATAAAAATATTATATCATATTGAACTGTGAGATCAGTGGAGGATCTCTAGACAACTTTGGCAGAGGGTCAAAGTTTAGACGGGGCCAACATTTGGGGTAGTATGGCTCACATCTTTTTGCTTCTCGCGTCCATTTTTGGTCGGTGATTTTCCAAATAAAACGGTGCCTTTTTCTGACAAATTTTTTAAAAACTTTAATTTAAATTTAAATGTTAAAATTACTGAGTTTTAATGAAGTAATTACAAATAGTGACCCCTCCCGGCCCCCAAGATCCGCCACTGATTAACATAACTAATTAATAAACAAAACAAATCTAACTTCTCATGTCACAAATTTTTAATTTTTTGGAAAAAAAAACCAAACCCAGCAGAAAAACCCAGGTAAACAAAAAGACAACCAGCAGCTGTAAAACATTTATTAGTACAAGGTAAAAAAATGCGGAAAACTAGCTTTAATGGGTGATTTACACATACATGTAAAACATATATATAGGATATATATATATACATATAGAATATATATATATATATATATATATATATATATATATATATATATATATATATATTTCAAAAACTCAACACTACTTTCAACATTGTTCAACTTTTTATATTTCTTTTTAATTTATTAATGTCAGAAATATTAGACATTTTATTGTTTAAAAAAATTTTTTTTTGTGTTTTTTTTCAATAAAATGTCTAATTTTCCTGACATTAATAAATTAAAAAGAAATAGATATAAAAAAGTTGAACAACGTTGAAAGTAGTGTTGAATTTCTGAAATGTTGCGTTAACAACAGTCTGTTACCAAAAAAATATATATATATATGTGTGTGTGTATATATATATATATATATATATATATATATACAATTATTTATAATGATCACTGCATTTTCGGCATTATTCAACTTGTAGTTGAGTTTCTCAATTTCAACTCAAATAAACTAACAATCAACTCAACTACAAGCTGAATAATGCCGAAAACGCAGTGATCTTTATTGTAATAATTGTATTTATGATAGTAAAAACCCAATGTATATATATATTTGTATTTATACAGCAGTTATTGACGGTATATAAATCTAAATATGAAATATTTAGAGATGCCTTCATAGAATCAGCAAGGAAAGTTATACTTGTGAAGGAGCAAAGAAGAGGTCAGAAATGGATAACAGATGACATCGTATCGCAGATAGATGAACGACAAGGAAAGTGAAAGGTTGCAATCCTGACAGTTACAAAAAACTGGACCAAACAATCATTAAAATGTGTTTAGAGGCAAAAAAGAAATTGTTGAATTACAGGTGCGAAGTCATTGAAAAGATCAAAAACAGTAATACAAATGCAATGTACGAAAACATCAAAGAAATAACTGGAAAAAGGGCTTGTACTGTTTTTGGATGCGTAAAAGCTAAACCGGGTGAAGTAAACTTAGAGAAAGAAAAAATACTTGAAAGATGGACTGAATACATTAAACGATCTTTTTTTAATGATATCCGTGGTGAAAAGCCTTTTATTAAAAAGACGTAGAAGGATCAAAGATACTTAGATCTTAAGTTTGTGCCGCTTTTTCCAAAATGAAATTAAATACAACGCCAGTTCCAGATTAGATTTTCGGCGAAATTTCTGAAGATCTTTCTAAGAGATGTAGTTTTTGAGAAGAATTATGAAAATTAGTTGGACCTCTCATACTTCGAATGAGGATGTTTTAAAAACTCCGGTTATGTAAAGAGTAAATTACAATGGTAGCGAATCGGTGGTTGAAATGGTAAAAATGCCTGGCATAGCTGCTGCAGTAACTGCGTTCGAACGCAAAGATACACCCCCAGTCTATCTATCGCTCCGTGTTTGTGATTAAAGCCTCGGAAAAACACTTGGAAAAAAATTTGTATCAAAATGTTTTTTAAACCATTTGACTGCATTATGTCTCTTTCTTCAAACATATTTTGCTTTAGGATTTGAGTGCATGCTTCTAATACCACTGGTGACATACAAAACAAATCGGGAATCAAATTTTCAAGAATGTTTTTTTATAAATTAATTTATTCACTGACATTTTGTCATTATTGCTTTATCATTTGTCATTACTAAGGCTTAATCGAATTTTTTTAACAATTGTGTTTGAGTTTACCAGTATGCGTTTGCAAGTGTGCGCGTGTGTAATTGCTACAATAGCTTTGTATTGTTATCCATTAAGAAGGAAGTGTAAATTTTATTTTAAACAGAATCGAACGGAAATAATACTTATTGTGTAATGTGAAAAATTTGTTTGTAGAGAATATATTCATATTTGTAGCTTAACTCCAAAGCGTTTGTAAGTTTTTGGTCAATTTTCAAGAATTCAAAATGAATAGACTGATTATTTATGCGTTAGTGAATCATTTTATAAAGTTTATCAGCGGTTCGAACTCAAACTGCAGCGAAAAACACTGCTTGTATACTCTGGACAATTATCTGCATGACCTGGATGGCATACCTGATAATTACTGCTCTCAGAACGGAAGCCGTAATGGTTGGTTGTTGGAGATTTACGACGAAAATGTTCAATCACTCGTTGATCAGTTCGTTAAGATCAACAATTTGAGAGGAAGAAATTCTCTCCTTGGAGCAAGCAGGCTTCCAGTTGCTATGACTTGGATAAATAAAGCTTCGTGTCAGTCTAATTTCTTAACGTTATTATCCGTCTTCAAACACATGCTTTAGTTGCTATTTGGCCGCCGAGTTAGCTCAGTCGGCAGAAACGCCATGTCTTCTCGTGCCGTTACGCCATGGCCTGGTTCGAATAATGTCTCTGTCCGAAGCTCAAACACTATCATACACAATACGCGTATGATGCGGCATTTGCACGTGCACCCGTAATGTGTAACGTAAAACATAAATAGACATTTTAAATAGATGACTGCAATTTTTGTTTAAATTATTTTAAAATTTGTTTAAAATAATGTAATTAACTGGAATAACGATTTTTTTTATAAATCTCAGTTTATCGACCAACTGATATTGTTGAGGATTTGTATGAGAACACAATGGTATACATAACTACAGCCAGCGCGAGTACGGATAAGCAAACAGCTGTGACTTATGTGAAACACGACGCAAGATTCCAGCTACAAGTTTTATGCTCTATAAAATGCGAGTTCATCACTTAATTGATTGATTCTTAGTAAATGTTTAACACTCCTACAAAATGTACATTTATACTATACATGATATGTTAAATTACCGCTGAAGTATATGCTACAAATTGTTTTATACTGCAGCTAAGTTTAAAAATTTGTTGTCTTCAGATTTTAAAAATTGCACCCGGGCAAACAGTTGGTCCCTTAGAAACACCTGCTACTTTCTCCTGTCTAGACACTATTACCCGTGGTATGATGGCCAATTTGAATGTATAAAGTTGGGTGGGAGTTTAGCTGTCTTGGATGATTTGAGCTCTGATGAAGTCAACCAAATGTGGAACCAGTTGGCATTACAGTCTGATCAATATTGGATTGGACTGACAACAACTTTATTATTTTGGAAGAGATCAGGTTATGTTTATTTTCAAATTCTGTAGTTTTTTTTACGTAGATTTTCATTTTATATTGACGCCATCTTTTGCCGGAGTTTGTGAGTCTAAAATCACATTCTATATTTGGATTGGTTAGAAGTTTTTAACATGATTAATGTTAGCTATAAATATTGAAATACATATCTATTTATTTGTTTGAAATGTTCATAGCCTGGCCTAGAAACATTGTATTATGAAATAATGTTTGTAATTCTCGAACAATGCAATCACCAGGAGAGTTTTTTTCTTATTCCAACTGGTGGGGGTCATACGATTTGATAGCAGGACCTTGTGTGATTATGACAACGTCCTTTTCAAACAACCCTACCTATAACGATAGATGCAACCGTAGACCCTTACAACTCATTTGCATGGAGGATTAGGAAATATTTTTTTTTAGTAAAAGTTAATTAGTCATCGTTATTCATTGAAGAAGTGTACAATTTTTCTTGATATGACATCTTTGGGTTAGTTTAACTGTTAGAAAATTTTCCATCAACTCATATACAACATTATATTTATTAAATGGTACTCAAGAGAACAAGGGTTTTTCGACTATGCCTTCCCAAACGACAAACTCAGCGATTGAACCATCTACATCCAATGTTAATCTCTTAAATTCAAGCGAAAACCTTCCATTTCGAAGTTTGTATTGAAATTTCATTAGAATATTACTAAAATGCTGTTTTAAAAAAATTTGAAGGCAAGAATAAAACTTCCGATAAAATGTTTTCTGCTTTCTGTTACTATGGCTAAAAGCATCTGTCTCATCTTGTATTGCTGTGACTAGGTTTGAGTGCAGAGTGTGGAAATATTTTGCAATTCTTTTGATACCTAAAGCTAACCTGGAAATTATTTTTTAAACTATTTGGGTTCATTTTTAGTTTTTAATCTAATAGAAGATTCGTAAAAATTTTTGTCCATTTCAATTTATTAATAAGGATCGTTAGCTGAATTTCTATGAAAATTTGTTTTTCAATTTCCCCAATGTTAATCACGCAGGTCTGGTTATCAGTCTTGGAGTAGCGCTGTTCCTATTGGTGACCTCAATCATTGCTCTGACAATTTTACTAGTGAAAAATAGAAGATATGCAAAGTAGGTTACGAGTAACTTTAATAAAATTGGCAAGTTTTTAAAAAATTCAACTTAGGTAAAACAACATAAAACAACTAGTAGAATAATCATATTTTGAAACAAAATTTGAACAAAATTCACGTTTTCTTATGTAATTATGTCGGTGAATTTAAACTGAATTTTTTTCTTTCAACTTTCAGAGAGATCACATCTTTTAGAATGAATAATGACAAAAATTCAGCCAAGCAGAGGGTTACAACTGCAAAAGACACATCTCATCGTCAAAACTACCATACCACCGACGACAACAATGACCGCTTCCAATATTCTCAGCTAGGACCACCAATTAACCCAGAAATGTCCAACTCAACATACACATCGCTCATTCAGAAGAATGTGGACGATGTTTACTATAGTCCAAATCTTAACCTACCACCGTACCTTTAAAATATTAAAATGAAATTTCAGTTTTGTACATGTTGTAATCGATTTTTAGACAATATCACATCATCGGATAAAACTGAAATTTTGTATAGATGACAGCCCGATCTGCGTAATAACAGTTCTAATATAAATGTAATTAAATTAATTGAATTAATTTTTCAAATATTTAAATAAAATATTCAAATAAACGCCCATGCAGCTATTATATTTGAATGTTTAGAATTAATTCGACTGGTAAAATTTCAGATTAAATTTCAATCTTTGAACCATGATGTAAGAATTGATAAAAAATGTAGTTTGATATGTGGACAAATTTTATTAGTTTACTTAGTTTATTAGTATAAATTTATTTAAATTTTTGTTATTTATGGTGAAAATGCTATTTAACAAACAGGAGCGTGGTTTAAAAAATCTGTTTTCTCTTCTAATTATTTTTCATCCTATGGATCTAACCAAAATTAGGAAGAAACCATTTATAGTAGGATTTCAAACTTACAAACATTTCAAAGTTGTGTTAATTATTGTTGCAAGATTGTTTACTAAATAAGAATTAACAAGTTAATTGTTTATAAAATATATTTTATTAAAATAAAAATAAAATGTAAAAATCGTGTTTGAATATGCGAATTGACAACGAAGAGTTCGACCGCAAAAGATGTAAGGACAGTTGCTTTCTTTTTTTTGGTTTTATGGCAAATCGCCGCGTGCCTAAAATAGGGATGCGCGGTCCAACAATATTCCCCCACCAGTCAAATTAAGATATCGAGATGGAAGACGAACTGCCTTACCAAATTTTGTGGTTCTCTAAGGCGGTAGAAAGTCAGTGTCGATGGATCGTTCTGGGTGTACTCACCTTTGTATTTGTCCTCGGTTGTGTAGCTTTTAGAGTCTCCACCCAGTGTTTGAATTTTGATGCATATGTATGTACGTCAGTTGTGTCTGGCCGTTGGTTTGGAAAAAGTCCGAAATGACAGAATGCTCTGCCGTAAACGAGCTCTGCTGGTGACAACTTTAGGCCTTTGTCTAAACGAGTAATATGTTTTTTTCCTTTTTTTCACTCTTACGCACTGCTCCTCCTGTTTTGGTGTCGTTCCATTCATTAGCGCCTCCGCAGCACAAATAACTAATTCTTAGTTTGTTTTTTATGATCTTTTGCGTATAAATTATCTTTTATTTGAAATTTCTTCCCTTGAGAACCGCTAACTGAAAAAAAGTTAACATGTCTGCCGTATGAGAAAATTGTATTTGATCAAAAAAAGTTCTCTAATATCAGTTTAAATTTAACTGAAAACTATTTTAATATATGAAATGAAGTCAGCTAACTGCAAATAATATATATATATAAATATATATATATATATATATAAATATATAGAATGGGAGGTTCACTAATATAATTTGAACTTAAACAAATAATTATAGTAAGGTAAAAAATAATATTCAAAAAACCAAGCAAAAACTAGTATAACAATGTTATAATGTTGCAATTTTAATGAAATTATTTAAAAAAAATATTACGAAATAATTAAGAACTGTTGAATTCATAGTTTATCCATTTAAAAATTAAAAGAAGTTTTTATAAAAATTAATCTAAGCCTATATTGCCATTATTATTATTATTATCATCATCAAGAATCGTAAATTTAAAAGTTTAATGAGAACAACCCCGACCAATATTGAAACTGAAGCAATGATTGAGCCGTTATATCACGAATATTTGAATCAATATATCTAAATAAATAGAGTTTCAAATGATATATCTGAATTCATCAAATACATATATCTAATCAGACAAAAAAATCAAGGAAATGTAAATTTCGACAGTATCAATCAATCTTCATTTTGCGTCCGGAAACCCGGTTGCCCGAGGTAGGACGTTTAAATTTCCACAGTAAATGATTCGAGTTATACATAAAGGTTAAGCCATTTAGTGAAGTTGCCAAATGTAATCAAAAGTAGCACGAAACCAACTATTCAATTATATTCGAGTCTTTTTTCTAGTAATATTATTGCAGCTCTGACATACGCAGAAGCTGTATATTCTAATAATGTTAATTCAATTATGGTTTTAAATCAATTGATATAGAAATTCAGAATAAATATACAATGATTTTAATATAAATTATAGAAAAATGTTGTGATTAAAACAACAAGAAGATAATTTCCATTCTTGTTATTTGCAGAGTTTGTAGTTGTTTCCAGTAATTCCGAAGTTGTAGGTGAGGTTTTAGTTGTTGATGTTGTTGTTGTCTTTGTTGATGTTTTGGTTGTAGTGGTTGTTGATGTTGTTGTTGTCTTTGTTGATGTTTTGGTTGTTGTGGCTGTTGTTGAAAGTGGAGTAGTTTCAATTGTTGTAGTTGGGATTGTTGTAGTTGGGATTGTTGTAGTTGAAAGTGTAGTAGTTTCAGTTGTTGTAGTTGGGATTGTGGTAGTTGAAAGTGTAGTAGTTACAATTGTTGTTGTCGGGATTGTTGTAGTTGAAATTGTAGTGGTTTCAATTGTTGTAGTTGGGATTGTTGTAGTTGAAAGTGTAGTGCTTTCAATTGTTGTAGTTGGGATTGTTGTAGTTGAAAGTGTAGTAGTTTCAGTTGTTGTAGTTGGGATTGTTGTAGTTGAAAGTGTGGTGATTTCAATTGTTGTAGTTGGAATGGTAGTTGTTGAAACTGTAGTAGTTTCAATTGTTGTAGTTGGAATGGTAGTTGTTGAAAGTGTAGTAGTTTCAATTGTTGTAGTTGGGATTGTAGTCGTTGAAAGTGTAGTAGTTTCAGTTGTTGTAGTTGGGATTGTTGTTGTTGAAAGTGTAGTAGTTTCAATTGTTGTAGTTGGGATTGTAGTTGTTGAAAGTGTAGTAGTTTCAGTTGTTGTAGTTGGGATTGTTGTAGATGAAATTGTAGTGGTTTCAATTGTTGTAGTTGGGATTGTTGTAGTTGAAAGTGTAGTGCTTTCAATTGTTGTAGTTGGGATTGTTGTAGTTGAAAGTGTAGTAGATTCAGTTGTTGTAGTTGGAATGGTAGTTGTTGAAAGTGTAGTAGATTCAGTTGTTGTAGTTGGAATGGTAGTTGTTGAAAGTGTAGTAGTTTCAATTGTTGTAGTTGGGATTGTTGTAGTTGAAATTGTAGTGGTTTCAATTGTTGTAGTTGGGATTGTTGTAGTTGAAAGTGTGGTGGTGTCAATTGTTGTAGTTGGAATGGTAGTTGTTGTTAGGGTAGTAGTTTCAGTTGTTGTAGTTGGAATGGTAGTTGTTGAAACTGTAGTAGATTCAGTTGTTGTAGTTGGGATTGTTGTAGTTGAAATTGTAGTGGTTTCAATTGTTGTAGTTGGGATTGTTGTAGTTGAAAGTGTAGTAGTTTCAGTTGTTGTAGTTGGGATTGTTGTAGTTGAAAGTGTGGTGGTTTCAATTGTTGTAGTTGGAATGGTAGTTGATGAAAGTGTAGTAGTTTCAGTTGTTGTAGTTGGGATTGTTGTAGTTGAAACTGTAGTAGATTCAGTTGTTGTAGTTGGGATTGTTGTAGTTGAAATTGTAGTGGTTTCAATTGTTGTAGTTGGGATTGTTGTAGTTAAAAGTGTAGTAGTTTCAGTTGTTGTAGTTGGGATTGTTGTAGTTGAAAGTGTGGTGGTTTCAATTGTTGTAGTTGGAATGGTAGTTGATGAAAGTGTAGTAGTTTCAGTTGTTGTAGTTGGAATGGTAGTTGTTGAAACTGTAGTAGATTCAGTTGTTGTAGTTGAGATTGTTGTAGTGGAAATTGTAGTGGTTTCAATTGTTGTAGTTGGGATTGTTGTAGTTGAAAGTGTAGTAGTTTCAATTGTTGTAGTTGGGATTGTTGTAGTTGAAAGNTGTGGTGGTTTCAATTGTTGTAGTTGAATAGTAGT